GACAGGTCTTTGGAGAGGGACATCATGCTGGGTAGAGTGGAGGGACAGCGCAGGAGGGGAAGACCCCCTATGAGGTGGATTGATTCAGTGACTGGGGTAATCGGGATGGGTGTGTCAGAGGCAATGAGATTGGCACGGGATAGAGCACGGTTTAGGGCTGTTGTACATAGGGTCACTATGAGTCGCAAACAACTCAAAGGCACATAACAACAACAACAACAGTGACTTCCTGTTAGATGCTATTGAATCAATGGCCAATAGCAACCCCATGAATAACAGATCTGAACCTTGCCCTTTCCTGCACGGCCCTCACTGTCTCTGATAAGCTTGAGCCCATTGTTACGGTCACTGTGTCAGTCTACCTCACTGAGGATCTTCCTCACTCCCTGACCCTCTACCTTTCCCAACATGATGTCTTTTCCAAGGGTTTGTCTCTCCTGAAAACATGCAATTTCACCATCCTTGCCTCTAAGGAGTGCTTCTTCCAAGACAGTGATTTATTAGGAAGATAAAGTCTTAGGCTCCTTCCCTGGAGAGCTTCTCTACAAGTCATGGCCCCACATGACAGCAGTTCAAAACAGCAATTGTTAAGCAAGCATTAACTTAACCATTCCTTACTTCGACCACTGATTTTCAGACGCAGTTAATCACAGAGTTAATCCTTCTCCCACAAAGACGTTGGTGAATTCAAAGCACCTGCCTTTGAGATTACAACACAGCTTCTTGCCAGTAGGCAGAAACCTGGAGAAATGGAAGAATATACAATGTCCATGGATAGGAAGATTCAATACAGTGAAAATGACAATTCAACCAAAGGCAATCTACAAGTTCAATGCGAACCCAATACAGATACCAATTCCGTTCTTCAACGAAATGGAAAAGGCAATTTCCAATTTTCTCTGGAATGGAAAGGGACCCCAAATAAGCAAAACACTACTGAAAAAGAGAAACAAGGTAGGAGACGTCACATTCCCTGATCTCAAATCCTACTACATAGCCATGGTAATCAAGACAGAGTGGTACTGGTACAGAGACAGACACGGAAATCAATGGAATAGAATTGAGAATCCAGAAATCAACTGAACTTTGACAAGGAAACAAAATTAGTTAAGAGGGGAAATGTCAGTCTCTTTAACGTATGGTGTTGGCAAAATTAAAAAACTTAAGCAAGATTCACACCCCACCTTATACACCCAAACCAACTCAAGATGAATCACGGACCTAGAAATAAGACCAAAGACTAAAATTCATAAAAAAAGTGAGAAAGAACTGTAGAAGCTCTAATCCACAATATGAACAGTCTTCCAAGCATAATGGAAAACCCACAACCAGGAGAGAATGAAATAGATAAATGATGAACAGGACTGCTGAGAACCAAATCCTATGCACATCCAAAAACTTCTTCAATAGAGTAAGAAGAAAACCAACAGACTGGGGGAAAATATTTAGCAATCACATATCTAATAAGGGACTTATTTCTAATTTCTAAAATGTATAGAATACTCCAGCACCTCAACAAGAAAAAGGTAAACAACCCAAACACAAAATGGGCACAGGTATGAATAGGCACTTCACCAAAGAAGATATTCAGATAGCAAACAAGCACATGAAGAAATGTTCAAAATATTATAGAACGAGTATGAGGACCCAAGGCAGGGAGGAGAGGAGCAGAGAAGTGAGTATGGGGCAAGCTTAATTACAGGGTAGCACAAATTGATAGGTGGAGGGAGGAGTGGGTAAAGGAAAAGGGAAAGATCTGGTGGGAAGAACAATGTATACAAACTTTGTAAGTAAATATACATATAAAAGAATAAAAGGAATGTTCAAAGTCTCTAGCTATCAGAGAGACGCAAATAAAAACAACTATGAGATATTGAACACTATTTAAAATAGTGATAACTATGTCATTATTTTATGATAATATAACATTTATATATCTTTTATAACATAACATTTATGATAATTGCAACATAACAACATCAGATGTTGTAGTTGCTGTCTGATGCAATAGGCCCCTAAATCATAGCAACCTCACTTGTTACAGAGCACACCTAACACACAGAATTAGCTATCTAATCATATACTCTTATAAACAGTCTTTCCCTCATCTGTTTCAATGCAGTATATATTATTTATCCCCTCTTTCTCAGTCTCCCTCCAACCTCTATGTCAGTCTTCTTTATAACAGTGGCATTATGCTGTATTTGTCCTTTTTTTTTTTACTTTTTTAGGTTTTATTTCTTCAATACCCAAAATTTGTTTAACAGAAAGGTTTTTCATTTATTCATATATTTCTTTAATTATTGAACATTTTCTCCCCTCATTTCCCTCCCCCTCCCCCAACCCACCCTGCAATGCACCCCCTGCTCCAGATTGTTGTCATACATTTAGTTGCTGATGTTGATTGCCTTTGAGTTGATTACAACTCATGGCAACCCTATGAACAAAAGGCCTGATGCTCCTCTACAACTATCAACATTTATCAAAAGTCATAGGGTTTCCAGAGGCATATTGTTTAGGAAGCGGATGCCACTCCCGCTTTCAAGATTACTGCCTAATCATACATTCTTTTCAGACAGTTCTTCCCCTTATCTGTCCTAATGCAATGTTCATTATCTTTCTACTCTTTTCCCAAGCCCCACTTGTCTACCCTATTTTATAACACTGATGTTATGCAATGTTTGTCCTTTTGTGACTGAGACACTTCACTCAGCATAATGTGTCCTCAAGTATCTCCCATATTGTGTAATGTGTTATGGGTTCATTTCTATCCATTCCTTTGTCAATGTGCACTTGGGTTGCTTCCATCTCTTTGTTATTGTGAATAATGCAACAATAAACATGGATGTGCATACACTAAATCATTGCTCTTGAGTCAGAAACAACTCAGTGTTAACGCTCTAGTGGGATTTCAGGGGTGGAAATCACACCAGAGGAGATTGCCTATCTTTTTTCTGATCTGCCTTTGGGTTGGCACTGCAACTTTTTGCCCACAAGGCTAGCAGAGCTTCTATCACAACTGTCAAACAAAAAGAACACAATACCAAATTTTTATCATTTCTTTAAAAATAAAATCTTAAAAGCCATTCATTTGTGCCATACCTCATTGAAGCAATACTGGCTCTGAAAGTACCCAACAGTGACCCTTACTTGGGTAAATCTGGAAAGGCTACAGGTATTTGAATTTTTTACCATGCAAACTAAATCTGAATGGCATGTCATGCTCAAGGTACTGATCACAGACACCCTGTTTAGATGTGATGTAGACTCATACTGCCTCTATTGAGGTGGCTGGCATGATTAAATGGCCGGATGGTAATGCCTGAGCTGAGGCAAGGGTCACCACAGGGAAAGAGTGGGAGGCCAAGGTGGATCCCAGTAGCAGGAGCTTCTGGTAGAGCTTGGCATAGGTACCAGGCTGGGAACACAGAGGCCATTTGGATAGGGTGATGTATTTAGTACTAAGAGGCAGAGGTTTGAAAGAAGAGGTTTGGTAACTAGAAACGCATAAATCCAGCAGTCTGAAGATACACAAGGCAGGCGCAAGGTCGTTTGGAGGGCACTGCCTGTTCTGCACTGTATCACGTGTCTGGGACAGCAGAGAAGAGCGCCCTTTCTGGCCAGTTTGTCATTATAGCCAAGCTGCGTGTATTCACCTCCTCAAGCCCGCTGGGAGTGGCCTTCTCCGGGGCCAATGAGTGATTGAACTCCCAGATCATCCAATGAGCTCACTGGCCAATTTCTCATAAACCAATGGGGCTTCGAGGGATCTGTCAGGCTGAGGTTAGTCCCGCCTGCCATGACTCTGGGAAAGTATAAAAGAAGGCTGGGCGCCACACGGGGGCGCTGTTATCGGCACCTTCAGCGCGGAGGAGTTTGCCCAGTCTGGCTGAGTTTTGGTGTCTGAAGAGAAAGGAGGCCTTAGGGACACACCTCAGGCTTCTGGGCCAGAGGGAGGAGGGCGCTTTGGGTAGGGACTCAGGTCTGAGAGGAGAGAGAGCTGAGGTAAGGGGCTCTGGGGTGTGAGGGAGGAAGGAGCTGGGGTCCTGGCGGTGTGAGGAGGGGGTGGGGAGAGTCTGAGGAAAGGAGACTGGACACGGAGAATCATTTATGCTTTGGGGAAAGATGGCTGAAGCGCAAGTCCGTGAGTTCCTAGATGAGGCAGAACAGGCAGTCCCACCTTCTTTCTCCGATAGAGACGGGGCCGGTGGTGCTAGAGACCAGGGCCGTGAGGAGATGAGATTTTACCCTGGATGGCTGAGTCTAAGACAAGGGGCCTTTGGGCACAATGGTCTCGAGGTTGGAGGGCAGGGAGTTGCCAGACGTCCTCGGGGACTGGGAGCTCAGCCTCCTGGGTCTGAGAATAATGGAAACTTGGCTCCAGTACTCTAGTTAACTTGTTCCAAGTCCTCAGCTAGTCAGGGCGAGGCTGCCCGAGGGGCGGGGTCGCAACAGGCGATGAAACCAGAACCAAATCAGGGGTCACCGGGTTGGCTGCACTGGTCCACTGTGTGCCCAGGTGCATCTGCTGCAGACCGAGCTCCTGACGCTTTTCAGTGGCACATTCGGAAACTGATCACCAGACCTTTTTTGCAAAGCACTTTCGGGTGTTATGAAGCACCAGCCTTTAAATTAGTGGTCAAATAGATTAACCATTTCCACCCAGGGACTTCACACTAAACACAATAAACTCTACCTTCATTCAAGCCAGAGCATAGGTTTAAGACGGTCTAAAAGTCTTCTCTTCTTCATCATATCTCAGATCCTAATCAGCTTTCCCCAAAACCTCTGAAAGAAGCCATGGGAACCTGTCACACCTGCACTTTGCTGCTCCTTTTCCTAGGCACTTTCTCCCCGATCTGTATGTATGGGAATGGGGGGAGGAAGCAACTTATAGGGGGGATTTACGGTGAAAAGGCCCCACAGAGAAGAGCAAATTCTTATCTTGATCTTGTTTTCTCCCAGTGGCCAAAGATTTGTATTGTTACAACAGTAGAAACATGGATTTGGTCATGGATTCAATCAATGCATTTAACTGGACCACAGAGGAAACTACGATTTGTGGAAACGGATCACTTTGCCAGGAAAGCATTCTGATTATTTTGGCAGGTAAATTAAGAATGGCAGGTATGAGGGAAAGTGATTATGCCCATTTTAAGTGCTTTCCCCCCTTCACCTGCCCAGACTCAGCTAAGTGTTCACCAGGCCCTGTAAGCAAGGAAAGCATGTGCTTAGATAAACAACACAATCAATACTGCTTGTCCAAAACAAGATCCACAGATGCCAAACACACAATATGTAGGAAAAGTCAGTGCTCCAGTGCAAGGAAATTGGTAGGACACCAAGTAAACTTAATACCCAGTTTACCACCTCAGAAGCTTTAAAAAGATATGTGTAAATGGCAGAAGTGCCCCAGAAGTATTGAGTAACAGAGCTCAGTAACAATGTACCATACCATCCTTGACACAGTTGAATCCCATGTAAAAAGCAGCTTTGTTGTTGTGTACCGTCGAATTGGAACCAACCCATAGCTGCCCCTCTGGGTTTTCAGAGGCAGTTAATCACATAGGGGGAGATTGCCCTTCCTTCAACCACAGAGCAGCTGGTGGTGGCCTCAAACCGCATGCCTTCAGGATTGCAGCACAGCCTCTTGCCACTAGGCCACCAGAGCGCCCATCTTTGACACAGTTGAATCCCATGTAAAAGGAAGGATAGCGGCAGACGTTCTTGCCAATAGACTTTCCATCTTGATGTGGTTATTCCTGTTGAAGAATGCATGCAGGCATCTAGGAAATTAGTGCAGGCTTATCCCAGTGACTTAAGTCTTTTACAGGAAAGTACAATTGTTTCATTCTTCTGTGAAGACTAAGTCTATAGATTGAGTAAAGATTACTTATATAGGCGTGTTATGATTCCATAATAGAAGATAAAATATAACGTTGAAATTGCCTTACTCATATTCATAACGTTAATGATCACAAATGACACAACAGACATTTTCATCCCAGGAGACTTAGAATACTCGGTGCACAACAGTGACTCGAGAAAGATTCTATTCCATTGTCCTTCTCTGTATATGCATGGCTATGGAAGAGAGCTCTGGTGGCCAAGCAGGTTACAGTTGTGTTTCCAACCCAAATGTAGGAGGTTCGGATCCACCAGCTGCTCCAGGGGGAAAGATGAACAGTCTCCTCCTGTGCGATTTAGGGCCTCAGTTACAGGGTCTGTTCTGACTCCGTGGCAGCACCCAACAACAATTACCACTGAGTCCATGACCTCTCCTAGCGACCAGCCTTTGGCTTTCTGAGGTTCTGAGGCTGTAAATCTTTATGAGAGGAGCTTGCTCCTCTTTCTCCCAGGGAGCAACTGATTCCAACCCCAGACTTTCCAGGTAACAACACAATACATAATGCATTATCCCACAACAGCTCCTTTTATGATTTATGGAAGTAGATGTTGTTGTTAGGTGCCATCAAGATGACCGTGACTCATAGTGGCCCTGTGAACAATGGCTCTGAACTCTGCCCTCCCCTAAGCCAAACCTCACCATTTCTGACACACTTGATCTCATCTCGTCCAGGGTCTTCTCCCCTGTGCTGACCCTCTACCCTTCCAAGCATGTCCTTCTCTAAGGACTGGGCTCTCTTGGCAACATAATATACTAGACAGCTTAATTATGATGAAGTAACTGAAGAATTTATAAGAGCAAAGAGGAGAAAGACATGTTTTTCATTGTAGCATGTTAGAGATGAAAAAATGAGCTCTGGTGTAGAGAGCTAGCGGTGTGTGTGGTCAGTGGTTCAAACCCATGAGCTGCTCTGAGATGGGCTGTCTTTTCCCATAAAGATTTACAGCCTTAGACCTGACAGGAAGTCCAGATTAATTCCACAGGGGGTGTGGCTGTAGATAGAGATGAAAGGTCTATCTGAAAATAAAATACAACAGTTTATTGTAATGTTTATTTTCTAATCATTAATTTTTCTTTTATGGGATCTTGTCATTTGTTAATTTATAATTAAAGCATTTATTATAAAATCAAAACTGAAGTAAGAACTGTTAAAAGCAAAGCTAATGATATTCAATTTTTCATTGTGGGAGGTTGATAGCCTTTTACATTGGTTGGTGGAATGGTTAAGTTCACTGACTTTGTGTTGTTTTATTGTGTAATATTCTTTTTGTAAAAAATTGATTTCTAGTGAGAATCTCAGGATGCTGTAATCATTAAAAATGTTATATAGTTCACTTTACTCCACTAAAATGGCAGAGGCCACTTTAGTAATCAGTCACTAATATTGTGTTCACTTTTTAAAAAAATTATATTGTGGATAGCTAAGATACACACCCACACTTACATAAAATACATATACATATATACACATATGTACATATATATACACATACATATACATAAATATACATATATATATGTGTGTGTATGTATGTATATATATATATATATATATATATATATATATATATATATATATGGTTCGGGAAGAGATATGTGTAATATGTATCTCCACTCCTCACTTATGGGCATGGTTAGATTCTAAACACCAGATCATTAAGGGGAAACTTGTATTATAAGAGAGTTAAGGCCACATCCATCTTTAACGCCAGTGTTCCCCCAGTCAATCATTGTCTATCAGGCACCCCAGTACATCTCAGGATGTGTACAGTGTGGTGGCACATAAGGTGTGGCATGGTGAGCCTCCCTTCCCCCCCACATCTTCACCACCACCTGGGAGTTTCTGGGTTTGGTGGTCATCATCATCCAGGAGGATTGTGCACTGCCTCTGAAGTAGTAGGGGCCCATCATCACCTGAACACGTCCCAGAACTCTGAATGGAGCAAACCTCCCCACCCCAGCTCGTTTCTCTACCTTATTGCTCCACCGAACCCAAAGGCTGGGCTTGGTGGTGAGAAATTTCCAGCCTGCAGGCTGGCGAGGCCTGGCCGCCTGGGCACAGGGTGGCAGAGAGGCTTCTTTGGAAGAAGAGACTTCCAAGCCTCACCCAGGTCCTGCAGCCTTAAGTCCCCCCATCCCCTCACAGCTCAGCCACCCTCACCTTCTGTATGTTGCCCGTCTGCCTCATGCTCAGAGTGGCTTGCCCCAGAGAACACAAACCTCGACCTTTCTGTAGGTCCCACAGTTCCCCTGTCTCCCTCACAAACCATCGCCTCTTTTTCTTTCCTGCTCCTCCTCCATCTCTCAGCACTTGACTAAGCAGAAGAGATGATAAGTTGTTTTTCTGTTGTTGTAAATGCAAAAGGTTGGATAATAGTCAAGTGCAGAAGACATAAGAGACAGAGAGACAGACACATAAACATTCCAAATATCCCATTCAGACATATAAGTAAACAGAGCAGGGGAATTACAGATTCTCACCACTGGACCAATTGGCAGCATCAGGATGGATGGTGAAGAGATTGAGATTGTACACAGTTTTAGTTTGCTTGGCTCCACAGTCAACACTTTTGGCACCAGCAGCCAGGAAATTAAAAGGCTCATTGCCATGGGAAAGTCTGCTGTTAGGGACCTCTCCAAAGTACTGAAGAGCAACGGTGTCTCTCTGAGACGAAGGTGCATCTGATACAGGCCATGGTCTTCGCAATCACTTGTTATGCATCAGAGAGTTGGACAATGACCAAGGAGGATAGAAGGAGAATTGATGCCTTTGAGCTGTGGTGCTGGAGAAGAGTATTGAGAATACCATGGACTGCTAGGAAAACAAACAGATTTGTCCTGGAAAGGGTTAAACCAACCGGGTGGCTCCTTGGAGGCAAGGATTCTGAGGCTCCGTCTAACATACTTTGGACATGTTGTGAGGAGAGACCGGTCCTTGGAGAGGGACATCATGCTTGGGAGGGTGGAGGGACGGCGCAGGAGAGGAAGGTCCTCTATGAGGTGGATTGATTCGGTGACCGGGATAATTGGAATGGGAGTGTCAGAGACAGTGCGATTGGCACAGGACAGAGCGGTGTTTAAGGCTGTTGTACATAGGGTCGCTATGAGTCGCAAGCGACTCGACGGCACATAACAACAACAACAACAGGGCCCTCATATATGCCTTAATCTAATCCTGCCCAAATTTCACCTTCACCATCCACTTTCCCCATTTGCTGTCTCCTAACAGGCCCTGAGTCTATCATTGTGGCATCTAAGGGCTGTATCCCTGACAGGTTACAGCAGGTAACCCTTGTCCGACATGCTTCATTCCCTGGCTTGAAGGTGGTGTCCTTCAGTAACTTCTGTGAGGAGAACTATTGCAACAACAGACCCAGGATACCTCCATTATGGATCCCACCAGAAGACCGTCCAGGTACTGCGGAAGAAAAAGATGTATGCCAAGAGAGACTCACAAAACCCACTGGGGAAAGCTAATCTCCTCCTTTTCTGTGTTCTTTCTTGCCTGAAACCTAAACAGTCTATACACACAAAAGGACTTTCTGAATTATTATCTAAACAGTGAGGTCTAAATACTGCTCAGAGTAGAGCCCATCAGAGACAGTCAGGATCTGCACTGGATTTTGTGTTTAGTACACAGATGCCATTGTAGGTTTCTATGTATGCAGTCAGTCTAACAACTGTTTCCCTATTACTAGTGATAGTGCCAAATGCCCCAGCTGGACCTCAAGGTCTGAAGTAATCCTTTCCCTGTCTAGCTTTTCAACTTTGTTTCTCTTGCTTCGTGCTTGTCTATCTCAGTAGCTGTAGCTGTATGCTAACCAGGGCTGATACAAAAAAGTACTTAACAGTGGAGATGGGATTGGCCAGTCAGAATGAGTGCTGGCCATATAGGTCCCCTGGTTCGGCCATCCCAGTGCCTGCCCACTACTAACTCCATTCCTTAGAACTTTCCAGCTTGATCATACCTCCAGGCAGTTGCCTTGTTTCCTTTACTGTCACCTCACCCCATTTTCCAACCTCTACTCTTCCTGCTTCTCAGCAAAAGTACCAGCTTGGTGAAAATAGTTTGCAAGTTCTTTCAGGTATAATTAGTGACTCCTCCATTCTCCCACCATTATCCTTCAAACACCATGCCAATGGAATTGTATTACTAGAATTATTTCTGTGTCTTTCTCCTGTTAGCTATGGACTGTAGATGACAAGAAGTAATGTCTCTTCATCTCTCTCCCTCCTTACTGAAGCACAGTTTGGAAGCCTTGTTCAATGAGGTTATTAATGCCAAGAAAATTAGTCGGAGAAGAACTGGGAAGTTGCAGTGATGGACTTTGATTAGTGTTTGCAGCAGAAAGGACTCAGACAAGACAAGGCAGCCAGGAGGGATATAGTAAGAGGCAGGACATGTCCTTCACTATGCCTTTTTTCCCCTTCTAGTTCCCAAGACAGCACAAACCCACTCTTGTCCAACCTGCTTGGCTCCAGGGACCTGTTCCAATGCCCCTTCCATACCCTGCCCCAGGGAGGCAACTCGATGCTATCAAGGAAAATTCCAGCTTACAGGAGGTAAAGAGAGCACATGATCATATCAGATATTTGCATGGATCCTGGAAGGTCCTAACCCTTGGGGTTCCAGGGAGGAAGGAGGACTGGCTTCCTTGTTGACTTCCTGAGGCATCGATCTGTCTCCCCCTCTGTCTTTGTTCCGCAGGCGTCTTCAATTCATCTGTGGAGGTCAGAGGCTGCACCGCCATAAATGGTTGCAAGCTGATGGGTGGGATCTTCACCATCGGAGTCATAGAGGTAGAGGAAGTATGCCCCCAAGAGTCTTTCACTCAGTTTCGAAGGGCTGAAAATGGAGCCACCAGGCCTCCCATTTCCTTTTGGGGCTTAGAGCTTCTGCTGCCATTGATGTTGCTGCTGCTGCTGCTGTTGCTGCAACCACTTACCCTGAGAAGGTGCTTCTGGGCCCCAGTTGTAGGGCAACTCTTTTGACTGGTGGGGGGCGAGGGGTGTCCTGTAACTCCTGGTCTTCAACAAGTTGAAGAAGGCAGGGACTTGAGGCTGAGCAGAGAGATATGCCTGGATGTACTACTAATAAAATGTCTACTGTGATTTGTGTGTTGTACACATGGGAACCTCAATACAAGAGGAGAATTTTAGACCTGAGACTCCCTGCAATGGAATCAGTTCTGACCCCTAATGACCCTCTCTCCCATCTTTCTCCAGTTGAGCAGCTGATAGTTTCAAACTGCCAACCTTTTGATAAGCCCGTCACATTATACACTATGCCACCAGACTGACTTCAGGGCTAGGAAGGTGCTTAAAGTTCATTTTCTCCAAACCACATCTTTTTCAGAAAGAAGAACTGAGCTCTGAAAAACTGAGATGTGTTCCTCATATTCACATGGCTATGAGTAGAGCCAAGATCAGAACTTAAATTTTAAATTTTGACCCAAAATCTAGTTTTATTTTCACTTTAATATCATACTATTTCTTGCTGAGTGAACAAAGACTAGTGTTAGCCTATATTTGAAAGTCCCCCTGGCCCCATGTGAAGACTGCAGTCAGCATTAGGGCTTCTGATGGTTCCCTAGGAGCTTTGGTGGTTTAGTCCATAGGGAGTTGCACTGCTGACTTTGCTAACTCCGTTTCTTTGGCAGTTTGAATTCACCTCTTTGCTCCAAGGAAGAAATATGGACAGTCTCCTCCTATGATTTGTAGCCTCAGGAAACTCCCTGGAAGGTCAGCTAGGAGTTGGTTCTAACTCAACAGCAAAGTTTTGAGTTTTCTGTTTACCTAGTGATACAGCAGAATGAGAGGAGTCAGATACCAAAATCTCTTATTATTATCATCTCCTATTATTGGCCCCATCGTCTTTCCCACTGTCCACTCTCTGCCATTTCCTTCCTCTCTGTCTACTGAAGATCTTTTCCATGAGCAGAGAGAACTTAGGTAGGAGTCAGCACTCAGAAGAGTGTGATGAATGGGGCCTGAAACTACTGGGGTGAAGATTTTGGAGAGAGAGGTAAATTCCCATGCTTCTGTAATTCAAAACACATAAAATCTGTCTTGATGTAAAAGACTAAAACAACACAGAAGAAATAAAGAAGAAACTAAAGGTAAAACGAGGGGACAACATGAAAATAGTGAAACTGCTTTCTCTCTCATTGCCATCAGAGTGAGAGAACCAACTCATAGCTGATCCAATAGGTTTCCAAGGCTATAAATCACACAGGAGGAGGTGTGCCCATCATTTTTCCCGTGAAGCCTCTGGTGAATTCAAACCGGAGAGGCAAGGCCTTTGGGTTAGCAGTGCAACACCCAGCAGACTGCACTGGCTTGAGAGTAGGGAACTCAGTGCAAACTACCATCTCTCACAAAGGCTGGGGCAGTCTAACCACATCCCACAAAGGCTGGGGCAGTCTAACCACATCCCACAAAGGCTGGGGCAGTCTGACCATATCCCACAAAGGCTGGGGCAGTCTGGCCACAGTATGGCTTGAGAACCCTACTGAGTACAGCTCTGCTGGGCACACGTGAGGTCAATGTGACCCGGAGTCAACAACACTGCTGGCTTCTTGGGTTTTGTGTTTCATCTCTACGAAGTTGAGGCTCAGAGATCTCCTGGATGAGCTGAATTGACTGGCTACAGCAGTGGATTTAACAACACCAGACTCTGTGAGGACAGCACCTGGTTTTGTTCTGTCATACGTGAATCAGAGTGTCATTGTCAAAGGCACCAAGCAACAAGAAGTTCTTTCTAGAAATCTTTTGCCTTTCTTCCAGTCCCCGGGCCTCGGGGCTCCCTCCAGGTAGGAAGTTATTTTTGTCCTTGGGCCTTGTGTCAGTTTTGATGAACCATGCTCTTGGTTGGAAAGAACTATTTGTGTTTTTTTTAAAAAAATGAACTGTTTCTTATGCTAAAAACTCACTGCCACCAACTCAAAATCAACCCATAGCTGAGTCTCCAGTGGGTTTAGGAGGTGGTAAATTGATAGGAGAAGATTGTCCATCTTTCTCTGTTGGTGCCTCTGGTGGATTCAAACTACCAGAGAGGTGCGGCCTTTGGCTTAGAAGCACAGCTGTCTTTCTCGAGGCATGAAGACAGTTGCTAGAGAGATTCCTCCAGTGAATGGACAAAGCGTATGGTTTTTAAAATACTGACATTGCTATTTTTTTTCAAATACATCTAATAACTTGATACAAGTTCTTAGCACATAGAAATTTGTCCAGCCTCAAACTCAAGTGTGAAAACACAAGATTTATACTTGATAATAAACGTGTCTATAACTGTCCTCCATTCTACCTCCAGAGAAACTTAACTAATCTGAATAAACAGTCATGTTGACGTTTTCTTAAGCCATGTTCCAAATCTGTCCATCTGGGACTTTCTCTTCCCACTGTTCTCGTCTGGGGCCTTTGCGGTGGTGCTGGTGGACACGGGTAATTGATGTTGGTTTTGTCCCCATTATTCCCTCTGCTGTGGATGTCCAAGTCCTGTCCCTCCGCAGGCTCAGCTGCCCTTCCTGCTGGCCTCCACTGAGAAACTTCCACCTCTGTACAAGCAGAGGGCCATCCACATAGGCCCTCTTACTGAAATGGCAGAAATGCAAGCTTTTAACACTCCACCAAAGTTTAGGGACCAGCAAATCTCTTTATTACACATGATCAGCTAATGCGCTTACTGTTCCAGCCCAAGGAGAAGGAAAGATTGGGTTTATATACAGAAATTGGGCATGGGGTTACACGAAGTTTGCTGTGCTTGGCAGTTGAGATTTCTTCAGATATGGGAGTTGTTATTATTTCTGACTTCACATGGGTGTCCAGGTTGTGGGCCAGGTGCAGAGGGAGTGGTAGCCAAGCTGGGTCAGCTTATACTAGAACATAAAGCTTAGTAAAATATGTTATTGCCAAAATTATGGAGACATATGTTTCTTAAAATGGCTGTCAGAACAAAACGGTTTCTCTAATGCTGACATATAAAACAGCTTCTCGCCTTTCTACGAAGATGGAGCCGAAAGCGAAGAAGGAAGCCCCTTCCCCTCCCAAAACTGAAGCCAAAGCAAAGGCATTAAAGGCCAAGAAGGCATCCTGAAGGGCAACCACAGCCAAAAAAAGAGAATATCTGCATGTCACCCACCTTCCAGTGGTCTAAGACCCCCGGAAGAGCACCCCCAGAGGAACAAGCTTGGCCACTCCGCCATCATCAAGTCTCCCCTGACCACTGAGTCAGCCATGAAGAAGACAGAAGATAACAACACACTTGTGTTCATTGTGGATGTCAAGGCCAACAAGCACCAAATCAAACAAGCTGTAAAGAAGCTCTATGACACTGATGCAGCCAAGGTCACCACTCTGATTAGGCCTGATGGAGAGAAGAAGGTTTATGTTTGACTTGCTCCTGACTATGATGCTTTGGATGTTGCCAACAAAATTGGGATCATCTAAACTGAGTCCAGGTGGCTAGTTCTAAATACAAATTTTTCTCAAAAAAAAAAAAGCTTCTCTAATGCTGACATACAAGCTCCTACATTACCACCACAGTCCTGGGGTGCATGGGGAATTCGAGGTTGCCCAGGCATAAGGAGGCTCTGGTGCTGTACTCTGCAGGGAGTTGTGCTGTTAAAGGCGGCAGATCTCGGGAATTCAAGTCTACCAGCAGCTCCATGGGAGAGGGGTGGGCGATCTCCTCCTGTGCTATTTACAGCCTCGCGAAAAGACTGCGGTGGCCTGATTCAAGCCATGGTCTTCTCACATCAGACAACTGGACAACAAACAAGGATAGCAGGAGAAGAATGCATGCCTCTGGGCGGTGGTATTGGAGAGGAGCACTGACCACCCCTGGACTGCCAAGACATGTCTTGGAGAAAATACAGCCAGAGTGCCCCTTGGAGGCAAGGATGGGTGAGGCAGCTTCACATTTCATTCTCTGGACATGTAGCTAGGTGAGGCCATCCCTTGGAGATTGACATCATGCTTGGAAAATGAAGGGTCTGTGAAGAAGAGGAAGATGGACTGACCTCAGCAATGGGCTCGAGTGTGTCAGAGACGATGAGGACGGCACAGGACAGGGCAGGTACAGGTAGGTTGCTTGACTCAACGGCACCTAACAACAACGACTGGACAGGGATCAGCTATGAGTCCGTTCCAATCTGACGGCGGTGACTGAGTGAGGCCGTGGTGGGCGGCCCCCAGCTGGCACCTGTCTGCCCGCTCAGTGTGGTGGTGGGGACTTAGCCAGCAGGCCCATAGGAGAAGGGTTACTGATCTGCTTCCTTGAAGATTCCTGCCAACGAGACCCTGGGAGGCGCAGTTCAGCTCTAACACACGGGGTCACCAGGAGTCGAATCCACTCTTCAGCAGCTGGGTGAGGCTTTGGTCATTTTCTTTCAGGTACCTTACAGCCAATAAAACGCCTTCAAGCTCTGGAGAGAAGGGAACTTTATGGAAACTTGCTTCCTTCTAGGATCTTAGGGCAAAAGTGAGGCTCAGATTCCAGATTTCTCTTCCTTTCTGCCAGAGTTAGCTCTGCCCCACGACACAGACACCGTTCCACAGTCCTCTCAACTCTTATGAAATAGTAAGAACACTCACACCATCAGTCCATTCCCACTTTGAATCTTAAGAACTTCCAGGTCCTTCCATTCAAATGTTTGGCCTTGAAAGCTATTGTCTGTTTCTCCATTTATATTACCTCCTTTGCTCATAACAACCCTATTTAGAAAATATCCCAAAATCTAAGGGAGCTCTGGTGGCCTACTGGCAAGAAGCTGCACTGCAATACCAGAGTCGTGTGGTTCGAATCCACCAGATGTTCTGCTGGAGAAGGAGGGGCAATCTCTTCCTGTACTAGTCAGATCCAATTTGTGTATGATTTTTCTCTCAGTTGTTGTTGTTCTTGTTGTCAGATGCCAGTCTCAGGGAACTTACACTCTTGTTTCTTTCCTCTTCGTTCTCCCTCCCACTCCACTCTTCCATTCCTGTTCCTGTCCATCCACTTGCTCAATATTGTATGCTCTAGTCTTTCTTCCCCTCACTTGTTCTTCCTTCTCCTCAATGCCTTTACCTGATCAGTGATCCTTCCATGACTCCTCCTCCTTCCATTCCGTATATGCTCTCCAATCTGTGGATTCAAGTAAGATGCAATCACGGTGCTCGCTTCGGCAGCACATATACTAAAATTGGAATGATACAGAGAAGATTAGCATGGCCCCTGCGCAAGGATGACAC